CATGATTTATAATAATTGGAGTAATGCAAATGCATATTTTCTATAAAAAAAAAAGTCAGTTTTTAGTGAAATTTTGCCGGGAATGGGGCTTTAAGTCAGGTCAGTATGTCCCGTAGCCGAACTTCCCTAGCCTAGACTACACAGCGTGTAGTGAATACTAGCCTACACAGGATTTAGAGCCATCAGTCGTCCCCAGTCTACACAGCGTGTAGTGAATCCCTAGTCCCTAGCTAACGAACGTACAGTTACGTACTAGCGGTGTACCGTATTCAACTGTCATAGCCTACATAATAAACACAAATGGCTCATCTAACACAGCCAGACCCACTAGAACTAACGGGCAATGTGTCAGAAAACTGGAAAAAAATTCAAACAAAGATTTATGTTGTATAATACTGCATCTGGTGCCGCCAGAAAAGACGACACTACCCAGACATCAATGTTGCTACATATTATTGGAGAAGGTGCACTAGATGTGCACAACACATTTAACTTTGAAAACGACGGAGACAACATGAAGGTATTAAGAAAAGTGCTTGAACAATTTGAGAAATATTGCTCACCAAAAAAGAACGTGACATTTGAAAGGCATAATTGTTTCACTAGATCTCAACTTTCTTCAGAAACAATTGACCAATATGCCACGGAACTCAGAAACAAATCAAAATCATGTGAGTTTGGTGACTTAACAGACTCATTGATAAGAGATAGAATCATATGCGGTATCCCAGACAACCAACTCCGTGAACGTCTTCCCATAGAGGATGATCTAAGCTTAGAGAAAGCCTTGCAATTGTGCAGAGCAGCAGAAATTACCAAGTCCTATGCAAAAGAGTTAAACGCCATTAATCCACCCGACCACATGAGAGAAACACGTGCCCTTGTTCACTCAGTTATACAACAAGTAAGGTGTGGTAATTGTGGTAACAGCCATGCACCCAAACAGTGCCCAGCCTATGGCACAACATGTAAAGGATGTGGGAAAAGAGGACACTGGCAGAGCATGTGCAGAAGCAAAAGGCACAGATCTAAGAGTCGTGAAAGACCAAAAGGATCGTATACCAGAAGTAGGTCTAGAAACAGAAGCTCATATAACAATAGAAGACGAATGAATGCCATTGCCTTGGATACAGATAATAATGTCATGGAGTGGTTTGAAGAGTTGTCGTTCAGTTCAGTTGGAATAGACGACAATTGTGATGAACTGTATGCTGACTTAAAAATTCAAATACCACAGAGAAATGGGATACACACTCTTTCCGTAAAAGTTGACACAGGTGCCCAAGGTAACATACTGCCCCTGCGTATATATAAACAGATGGTACCGGAAAGCGTCAACACAAATGGGCTCCCCAAGCCGGGGAAAACCAAGGTGAACAAGGTTAAACTGACAGCATACAATGGAACAACAATCCCGCAACATGGCACAGTCCAGATACAAGCCAAATTCAGTGGCAAACAGTGGTCATGGTTAAATTTCTATGTATGCAGTGTTGAGGGACCAGCTATTCTAGGACTCCCTGATGCCTGAGATTTGAAACTTGTAACTATCAACTGTGCAGTCGATACAAATCAAAATGGTGATGTACCAATCAAAGACAGAAACGATCTACAGAATCAATACCCTGACAGATTTAAAGGTATTGGAAGATTTCCAGGAGAATTCAACATCACCCTAATCGAAGATGCACAGCCTGTAATCCACCCTCCGAGAAAATACCCAATTCACCTCAAGAATGAGCTGGAAGCAGAGCTGACCAATATGCTAAATGATGGAATAATAACTAAAGTCACCGAACCAACTGACTGGGTCTCATCAATAACCTACAGCCGCAAGAGCAATGGGAAGCTAAGAATCTGTCTTGACCCAAAAGATTTGAACAGAGCAATGAAAAGAACGTACCACAAAACACCAACGCTGGAGGAGCTTACCCATAAGCTAAGCGGAGCTAAAATCTTTAGCAAACTCAAAGCAAGACATGGTTACTGGAGCATTATGCTAACAAAAGAGTCAAGCCTTCTAACTACATTCAACTCCCCATTTGGAAGATTCAGGTTTAATCGCCTACCATTTGGACTCAAGGTGTCACAGGACATATTCCAAGAAAAGATGGACATGATCCTTGAGCAGTGCCATGGAACAATTGGAATCGCCGATGACGTGGTTGTTTTTGGACGTAATGACAGAGAACACGACCAAAACTTACACAATCTCATGAAGATCACAAGAATATACGGTCTTGTCTTCAATATTGGAAAATGTGATATCAAAACAAAATATGTGAATTTTTTTGGATGTCTCTACGATGCAGATGGTATACATCCAGATCCACAGAAGGTACAAGACATTCACTCATTACCAAGCCCAACATCTGTCACTGAGCTACAGCAGTTCCTAGGGATTACAATACATGTCCCCATTTATACCGAAATTGGCAGAACACACAGACACACTCAGAGCTCTAACCAGAAAAGACTCGAAATGGCAATGGACAGCATCATATCAAACAGCGTTTGAAAAGGTTAAGACACTCATAACAGAAAGCTGTACTCTGACCTATTTCCAACCAAATAAGCCTATAGTTATCCAGGTAGATGTCTCAATGAAGGGTTTAGGTGCAGCTCTAATCCAGAATGGAAAACCAATTGCCTTTGCCAGCAAAGCCCTAACTGACACAGAAAAGAGGTATGCAAACATTGAGCGTGAGTTATTGGCAGTTGTATTTGGCTGTACAAGATTCCACACATATGTGTACGGAACCAAATTCACCGTGGAAACTGACCATAAACCACTGGAAAACATCTAACATAAAAGCCTAGCAAACACTCCGCCAAGACTCCAAAGAATGATGATCCAGCTACAACCATATGATGTGCAAATAACTTACAGACCAGGGAAAGATATGACACTAGCTGACACAATGTCAAGACTCAACCCATCATATGGCCCTCAGATAGAATTTGATAGAACTATCCACATCATACATTTTACAGCTTAAAAGCTAGCAGAGATGCAAGAAGAGACCAAACAAAGTGTAACTCTTAAACTCCTAATGGACACCATCATAAACGGATGGCCAGATGAACCAAAGAAGTTACCAAAATGCATCAGAATGTTTTGGTCAAGCAGGGATACATTAGCTTACTGAAGATGACCTTATACTACAAGGAAACAGAATACTAGTACCAGAGAAACTAAGACCAGGCATCCTGAAAAAGCTCCACATCGACCACCAAGGTATAGTCAAAACCCAACTACGAACAAAATTATCTGTGTTTTGGCCCGGAATTAACCGTAATATAGAGGATGTGGTCAAAGGCTGCATTGTGTGTCAATCACACATGAAATCACAGCAACCAGAACCATTAATGCAGTACAAAATACCTGAAGGACCTTGGCAAGTCGTCGCAGTAGACTTGTTTTATTTTCATAGAGATGAATACCTTGCTGTCGCTGATTATTACTCCAAATTTCCTTTTGTAAAAAAGATTGGAAAACGAAGCACCAGCATGGCAGTCATCAAGATGACTAAATCTCTATTCAGTGAGCATGGTATTCCAAACAAAGTTGTAAGCGACAACGGTCCACACTTTAGCAATACAGAGTTCCGACAATTTGTGAACGAGTGGGGGATTGAACAAGTAACATCCAGCCCACACTACCCAAGAAGTAATGGGTTCATTGAAAGAACCATACAAACAGTGAAAAGCACACTACAGAAGTCAAAAGACAGTGTTTCAGACCCATTCCTAGCGCTATTGTGATTGAGGACAACACCGATAGACAGTTACCTTCCACCACCCACAGAATTACTGTATAACCGGAAAGTGAGGAGCAATCTACCAATAAGGTATCAAGACGACAATCACCACAACAAAGTCACCAACAGATTAATCCAACGACAAACCATGCAAAAGACCTATCATGACAAAAGAGGAGTTAAAAACCTTGTTCCATTGAGTGAAGGAGAACAAGTGACCGTACAAGACCCCCAAAGCAAGGAATGGACGCAAGCAACTGTGAGAAAAATCTACAAGGAACCAAGATCATATTGGGTGGAAACTCAGACAGAGGGTATACTAAGACGGAACAGAAAACACCTCCACAAGCAGCACTCAAAGCGAGTAAGATTTATGGATCATGCACCTGACGACACAACAACACCATCTACTCAGCGGTCTTGAAGAGTTATAAAGAAACCAAAGAGACTGATAGAATCTATATAAAAATACTTGCACTAATAAATCTAAAAGAAAACCACTTATTTAAAATCAATAGACTCATAATCTGAACTCATTATGAAGATAAAACTGAACACTATAAACTATAAAAAAAAAAAGTACTCATCAACTAGTAATCAATGATTTAAAAAAATAAATAAATAAAACGTACACTGACTGTTTCCAATTCAGTGTCAATAATAAATATGTTTTGTTATGTTATGAGTTAATTACTAAAGAGGAGGCTGTGATGATACGCCTATGGCGCTTCATACGAGTGTTGCTACGCTCGCCTTGTAATGCCTAGACAAGGATTTGTGGTTAACCAT